TTCAGGTCCCGGGGATGCTGAGCAGAGCTGGAGAATCATGAGGAAGGGAGCCAAGAGCAAGTGGCAGCTGCATGGCACACCAGGTGATCTTGGGCAAAGCGCTTAGTCTCTCAGTCTTAGTTTTCTTGTTGGTAATTTGAGAAAAATAACACCTCTCTGGTTTGTTATGAAACCAACATGAAATAAAGTATGTGTAGGCATTTTATAAGCTTCAAAAAGTATGTATACAAATGTAAGGACTTTTATTCTTTGTTTTAACTCAATGTTTTAGATTTTAGGCTCTGGGGGGAAAAAAAGAAGTGAATGGTGTTTGGGTGTCACCAGGAACTTCATAATGCCTAGGTAATTATCTAAGTAGAGGAAAATATCCTTTAATTGTACTGCTTGTTATCTCACTCTGTCTCTCTGGTCCATCTGTGAAGACCATTGAGTGATTCTGAGGAAATTGGCACATAACTGAAAGGATGTCAGAGTATATTCTCGGTCCTATTTGGAGATTTGTCCATGGTTTTGAGTCAAAAAGTGACAAGAAATAGGATTCTAGAAATTACTTCAAGACCATTTATTCCACTCTTTTAATTTCAAAGAGGACCAGAGGGGAGAAGGGATACAGGCACATGGCACAAGCTCAGTAAATCTCTCCTAAAGGAATTTAAACAAAGACACATGCCAATTTCTTCACTGAGAGAGACCTAGAGCCCTGGAAGACCCTCACTCCCTCCTTGACTGGCCCTCTCTTCCTTGGACTTTAGGGGTTCAAATCAATCTTATGTAATAGTTTGTACTTTCAACTTTTCCTTCTTCCTGTTTCATTATCTTTAGGCTTCCTTTCTTTCCTTTTAGTCTTTTATCTCTTCTTTCTAATCACTTTGACTCCTCAATTTCATGGACTTTTTCCTATATATTATGTTAATGGACGATGAAAGCTTAGCATTAAGCTATTTCTATTTTAATTTGAGAGAGTGCAAGATTTTCCTCAATAACTCAATTCCCCTTTGTGTTAGATCATAAAGTATGTCAAACTCTTTGAAACTAGCTTTTCTCCCAACCCCAGGCAGTATTACCACTTTTTTTCTTTCTTTCTTTTTCTTCTTCTTCTTCTTTTTTTTTTTTTTTTTTTTTTTTTTTTTTTTTTTTTTTTGAGACAGAGTCTCTCTCTGTCACCCAGGCTGGAGTGCAATGGTGTGATCTCAACTCACTGAAACTTCCACCTCCTGGGTTCAAGCAATTCTTCTGCCTCAACCTCCCGAGTACCTGGGATTACAGATGCCCGCCACCATGCCTGGTTAATTTTTTGTATTTTTAGGAGAGACGGGACTTCGCCATGTTGGCCTGGTGGTCTCAAACTCCTGACCTCAGGTGATCCACCCACCTTGGCCTCCCAAAATGCTGGAATTACAGACATGAGCCACCACACCCAGCCTGATCCTTTTCTTTCTACTGGCACAAAGTCCAGGCCACAGCCAGAACTGTTGACTAAATGCTGGCGTACTCACACCTGGCCCATGAGAATGGCAATAATTCTATCTGATACAATGTGGTTTGACCCTCTAGGCAAAAGTGATCCTATTTTCTTTAACTTTTGATGCATTTCGGGGCAGTTGTTAAGTGAACAATAAAGTTTAGGGTGTATTCCTCACTGTGGAAAGACTGCTTTGATTGCCTCTAAGTTTCCTTCTAGCTCTGACATTTGAGAACTCAGTATTATTCCACCAAAGAAAGCCTATTATGGTCACAAAAGCCCTAAGATAGTAATGATCTCCTGAGTGACTCATGGAATTCCCAGTGGTCCACTGTGAATTGACATTTTACGGGTACAGAGACTGTGGCATCTTTAAATGTCAAAGCTGGAAGAGCATCAGTCATTATCTACTACCAGTGCGTTCAGGAGTCTGGGACCTGAAGCTTAATGGTACCTACTCACTGAATCCTTCAACGGAGATTTATTTTTATTGTTCTCATGCCATGTGCCAGGCATTGTAGTAGGTCCTGAGGTGCAGTAATAAATAAGATAGATGAGGTACTTCACATATACCAGTGAGGCAAAATGCATGATAGCAAGGAAAAGATAATAAAGTTTGTAATATTTGCTTAAAAGATATAAATAATGTCATGGATTTATTCACTGTGTTCAATGGACAGTGAATAACTTGGCGGGAGGGAGATGACTGCAGAAGTGACTCTTAAGACAAGATCTGAACCTTGAGAAGAAACCAGCTGTGGAAACCAGAGTTAAAAAAAAAAAAAAAAAAAAAAAAAGATAGGCAGAGAAAATGAGATATGCAAAGTCCCAGAGGCAGGAAAGAACTTGGTATATTTAAGGAGTGGAGAAGCAGCCAATCTGGCTAGAATTAAATAGAAGAAAATAAGTATGAGGAGTGGCAGGAGGAGTTGGCTGGGGCCAGATCAACCTCATAGACCCTAGTAAGGAGTTTGGTTTCATTCTAAGAGTGGGAAGACTGAAGGCTTTTCTGCAGATAAGTGCCATGATCTGGTCTACATTTCTTAAATACACCTCTGAGTGCAGTAAGGAAAATGGTCTGTGGGAGAGAGAATGAGGCTATTGCAATAGTCCAGACAAAAACTATCTATCTATATCTATATCTATATCATCTATACACAAAATTGGAATAAGTGGAGCTGGAAAGAAGTAGAGGAGTTTGAGATATGCTTAGGAAGCAGAGCCTATGAGACATGCTGATCATTTGCATATATGAACGGAGAGAACTAGAGGAATAACAGACTTCTAGATTTTGGAGCAATTGGATGAATGGAGGTATTGTTATTGATGTAATGAACCTTGGAAGTGGGTGGGATCAGAAAGACCTATTTGCTTTAAAAGGAAATGGGGAGTGGACAGGTATGTTGGCAGCATAAGAACTGGAATAACAGCACATCTCATCCATGCCTTAAAAGAATGTGAAACTTTGAATTTACAGCAATGGTATTCAATAGGTATGGCTTTGCCCCTAAGGGACATAGACACCAAGGATGCTGCTAAATATCCTCCAATGCACAACACAACTCTCACAACAAAGCATTATCTGGCCAAAAATGTCAATAGGGCTGAGGTTGGGAATCCCTACCTTACAGGTGGCCTTTTTGGCTTTTATGCAAATAAAGTCCCAGAGAAGATGATTCTGGAAGATGTCACTGCAGATAAGAGTATGAGGGAGGGACCTGGATTAGCCTCTGTGGTGGAGGCTGGTGGGAGCTGGTGAGTTATGGGATTTGCAGAGTTTTCCTGTGAGTGGAACAGTCTCCAGGAGAGGGTCTGAATCCTCTGGGGCCTTGGAAAGAACAGAACATTGATTGAATTCAAGTAGAAGGCCCTGGACTCAGTGGGAGATGAGGTGGATACACTGTCTAGTGAGAACTCAACTGAGCAAGAGGATCGATGGCCGTGAGTCTGGGCAAAATCAAGTGTTTCCAGGGGAAGAAAAAGAGCACGGGAATCCTAAGGGACGTGGGGAGAGGGAATGGGAACTTCTGTTTGAATCCAAGCTTCTTGGGGCAGGTTTTCAAACTAGAGGTCATCGAGACTCTATTAGTTCTCATGCCTGCCTACACAGTAAAATCACCTGGCGAGATTTTCAATGTACTAATGCTCCAGCTGGGCCCCCACCCCAGAGACTGTGATGAAATTAGTCTGGCTTAGGGCCCCAGTACTGGAATTTTAAAAGCTACTCCAGATACTCTGGGTTGAGAACTACCATTCTAAGCATTGTACACTCTGATGCCTATGGGGCCAGACAAGTAAAGGAAAAGAGGGACAGGGTAGGTAGGCCCTGCCTAAGTGGGCAGCCTCTGCTCAACCGTTGCCCGCTCTTGCCTTGTAGAAATCGGTGCTGTGTTGCCAAATCTTCCTGTCCTCTTGTTTTTTTGGTTGTGTTTTGTTTTTGGTTTTTTCTGAGAAGCCTAAAATCCAGAATTTTTAAAATGTTGGCTCTAAATATTGTGAAACCCCATGCCAAACAAAACATGTCCGCAGAGCACATGTTGGGCCTCTGGGCTGTCATCTAGCAACCTCTGACCCAGCCCAGTCGTTTTCACACTTTTTTTTAACCACAAGAGGTTTTCTCCAAACAGCTTGTTTTGTAGAACTGTTATAAATTAAATAAACTTAAGCAGAACCTTGGTTTGGAGCAGGACAGAGACACACTCAGCCTCTCCTTCCAGCCCAGGGCAGTTCTTAATGCTGCTCCTGAGACCCTCCGGTTCTGGGGAACTTCTCTGGTCCATTTGCCAGATGAGAAAACTGAGGCCTTCATAATACAGTCCTGGAGCAGAACCTGCCCCACTGGGCCACTTAGAAATATGTGTGGGGACCTTTGGAGACATATGTGTGGGGACCTTTGTCTCAATGACAAAGTTGGCACTACCTGACACTCAGTGACTGGCAGCCAGGAATACTAAACTTCCTGCAATGTCCAAGACGATAAAGAATTACCCTACACAAAATGCCAATCACTCCCTGCTGGGAAACACCAGATGTGGAAGTGGAGACCCAAGAGAGGGAACATCATCTGGCACGATCATGGCAAGTACACTCTAGAACTTTGGCCTCTGCCCCAAGGGCTTAAGAACTTTCATCTTCACCCATAAGGAGGGGTCACTGGCAGAGCTGAGTTGGTCATACTCCAAAACACAGGAGAAAAAGAGATATTTTAAAATTAAAGCCAGGTAACCTCTTGAGGTGGGACAGCCATTACGTTAAAAGGCTAAGTGCCAGGTTTTGAGAAGGAACTTGAAAGGAAATGGGGACTGTGGTATCTTCGGCCTGGGCCAGGGTCCAGTGGCGGGTACTGGGAGGGGACGGATCAGCTGCAGCAAGGAGCAGAGGTGCTGGGACATGCTGGAGTCAGGGCAACTGCACAGATTTGCTGGCTCCATGGGTCATTTAATCCCTAGGCCAAAATATGCCAAGTTCAAAAATAGGATGTGGGAGTAAAAGGTGAAAGGAGGGTGTCCCCAACACTCCAAGGAAACAGAGCCAAAAGAAAAATCATCTTCCTATTTTTGTCATCACAATGCCACACATTGTACAGACTTTCACTGTTTGTAAAACCATTACAACAGGATCACCTTCTCAAGAAGTGCCAGGCAAGGGGAGCAGTATCTCTGTTTTACAGGCAAGGAAATGGAGCCTCAGGTTCATATTTATCTGGCACCTATCCTTTCAAGATCTGAGTTTATTTGTTTATGCTTACTTTCAACATCCACATGATGAAGGTCAAGGGAGGGATTCCTATTCTTGGTGTGTAGATTAGACTAGCAGTTCCCAAACTGTGGTGGGCATCAGAGTTACCTGGGAAACTTGGTAAAAACACAGCAGGCCCTATCCGATTAGAAGAAAGGGAGGCTGTGTCTCCTTCACGCTATCAGCACTCACTCCAGGTGATTCTGATCATCACCAATACCCCAACAGGTCTAACCTAGGTCAACAAGACAAGACCACTTACACAGTGCTTGGATGTCACAACAATGTCAAATTACTACATGGGTCTAAATATTTCTCCTCTCAGCTAGTGATGGAGCTGAGGCAACATCCAGTGGTGTGCTAGTCAGCCAGCTCTCCATGAGGGGGGATCCCTGACTTGTAGTGTTTGTCTATTTCTATGGTGTAACTACTGGGGTCATGGCCAATTTCAAAGTACTGAGGTGACATCACTAAACGTGGAGTTGAGAAGAGTTGCACATAATTAGCTCTTTTGAGACAGTCTGAGCCAGCTTCAGTGTGCATCTTTTGTGTCTCATCTTCAAAGATGGTGATCTTTCCCCTAAAATATCCAGAGCTGGGATGTGGGACAGACTCATGACAGTAACAAGGCGTGCCTGTTCTGTAACATCATTTTCAGGGGACAAGAACATCCATTACTATTATTCTACCATTATCTTTGAAAAGAAATAGACATAATTTTGAATTTCAACTTTGTGACTATTGACTGTGTGATGTTGAATGAGTCTCAGACCTCTCTGGGCATCATATTTCCCACACTTAAACTAGAAATAATAATACATTCCTCAAAGAAAAACCATAAAGGCCCAAGGATGTGATATATGTAAAATATGTAAGACAGTCCTTGGCAACTAGTTGTACACAATAAAGGTTTGTGCCATTCTCATCCCCTCTCACATCCTTCACATTTTGAAACCTAGAAAGTACCTCATCACTCTTCCCATCTAGATGCCTTGCTAGTGAATCAGAGACTCAAGAAGGGCAAGTGCTTTGCTCAACAAATCATAGGCAGCTGGTATGGAAGCCACCTGGCATGAAAAAAATTGTCATTAGGTTATAGTTTTCTTTCTGCAGACCAACCTGGGAGTCAAGCTGTGGAAATTCTGCACGTTTGCATTGGAACGATTTTGTCACGATCACTTTCCTTGTAAAAGTTTTGATAGTGATGTCTGGAGCCTTTTTGCCTTAGCAGCCTGGGCTTTGGAATTGGGCTTGCCCTGTAGCAGGTCACTTGCACCTTTCTGCCACAGATGACGGAAACGTTTAAAGTTGTGGATTGTGTCTCTGCATCCTCTTCCCTTCACACCAGCTAATGTGTTTTTCATTTCTCTTGGCTGGCTCAATTTCCCACATGTTCTCCCAAGCTCTTCCTCTCCACTCCCCAGGGCTTCCCACAACAAACCTGCGTGCTTTGGCGTCTTAGTAGGAGGGGCTGCTGAATTTATACCGGATATGCCTTTGGCCGTGTTTATCAGCCCTGGCCCAGGCTCTCTTAGCTGAAGGTGGCTGAAGCAGAGGGTTTTGACTATTCAGGTGGCCCCAGCCTGCCTGCACCCTATCCCTGAAAGCAATCTGCCAATTCGGCCTGAGAGGATGGAAACTTCCAGCTCTGCTATCTGTTTGGGACCCCCTGAGCAAAGACCTTCTCTTCTACACATCAGTTTCCTCATCTGTGAAAACAACAATAATAGTATCTTTGTTTTATGTGAACCACTTTGCTTTTCACCATAGTTCCTTTACTGGTGGCTTCCCATTTAATCTCCATTACAGCTTGTGAAGTAGGGGATACTACGACAGGCCGGTAACATGCAGAGCTAGGACAATAGCCCAGGTCTGCTTATGCCAAGAGTGAGCCGGAAATTTTGCCCTGCCCATTAGCTGTCTCTTTCATTTAAATGAGGAGGATAGGCTGTGTCTCTATTTTGCGGTGTAGAACCTGCTTCGTTTCCTTGCCTCCTCTTCTTCACTTCTCTCTTTCCTCTCTTCCTATTAAAGTAGTTTTGCTCTCTGACAGCCCTGGGGGTAGCTGGGCGCACACAGTATATGTGTGAGCCTCACAGAGCAGAAGGCTAATTAGAAGGCATTCACTCTTTAAATTCCCCATCTGAATTCCTGGTTAGGAGAAGAAACAGAAATTTTCCTGCTCTTTTCTGTTCTTTTATTTTTCCTTCATCTGTGTACTTGTGCCTTGCTACCGAGTACTCCTTTTGGACATGGGATGTATGCATTGGTTGTGTTTTTGGTTTCTTTCTTTCCCATTTTTTTTTGTTTGTTTGTTTGTTTTGGTAGGGAGTCAGGCAGAACAAAAAGTAAAGAATTCAACAGTTCCACAGACATCTAGGCTGAACGAGGACCACAGAGAGAACTTGCTTGTCCTATTTAACTGTTGCTTAGGAATGTAAAGACATGAGCACTTAGAATCTAGAAAAAACTTTAGGAGAGGTGGTTTCCCAATGTATCCGAATGTCCCACTCTGTACTTTCTCCATCAATCAAAGCCTTCTCTGTATCTCTAGTTGGAATTAACTTCTATTTTCTAAATGCAAACCCTATCTTGCAACCCATTGACCATACTTCTTTTGAGCACTTCTTCCTTCTCTGTGTCACTGACCTGATTTTCTTGGATTGTAAATTCTTTTATTGTAAAGACCAATTTTTAATATTATTTTTTGTGTGTTCACCATCACAGCTCCCACCATCACCACCTAATGATAATCATGATGATAGCCGCTTCCAAGTATTAAGCATTACTCCTTGTCAGAGACTATTCAAACAACATCTTATCTAATCTTACATCAGCCTGTTGAGACACGTAGTTTTACTTTTAAATAACTTTCCAAGAATTATATAAGTAAGAGGCGGAGCTAGGATTTCCAACTCAGGTTTGTCAAATTCTTTAATTCCCAAGCTGGCGTTTCCAAGTTCTGTGATATTCTGCCAAGCGCAGTGGGTGAGAGAAAAAGCCCGCGACGAGGAAATTCCACTCTTGTCTTGCTAAGATTCAGCACCATCTGGAAAAAAAAAAAAAAAAAGAACAATTAAAAGGTCATTTCATCCCACCCTCTCATTTCACTGATGAAGGATTTAAGCCAAAGGGGAGAAAGTGAGCCAAATCTAGGTTGCCCAGACGGTGGGTAGCTCAGCAAAACACCAAGCCTCACCCCATTTCCCCTGCTGCCTCCAACCTCCTGTTAGGCCTCTCACTTTCCTAAAGACTTTATGATATGATATGTGGGACAGGAATCGCTCAGCATTGGAAAGTTTAGGCAGGAAGAAGCTGTGGGCAAAAACGTATATCATGCTTCATGATCACACTGTACAGGACACCAGGGACACTCAGCTTCCCTGAAGTTTTACTTTCCTGAAAAGTTGTGCGTAAATGAGATGCTGGCTCTCCCTTTCCGGTAAGTCAGCCTTCAGTAGGTGAGTCAGGTTGGCTCGTGGCTGGGAGTCTGTGCCATGGCTTTGCCTTTGTGGAGGTTGTCAGTCAATTGTACACATATGAACTTTAGGATATACAGATGATATATATACATATCATCGCTTACTGTTTGGCCTACCATTGACCATTTATACCAGAGAATTCTTTGCCATGGGCCTGCCTTGTGCATTCTAAGATGTTGAACAGCCTCCCAGGCTTCTACTCACTAGATGCCAGTAGCACCTCTCTTCCCCCAGTTATGACATCTGAAAATGTTTTAAGACATTGCAAAATATCCCTTGGGGGAGAAAGCACCTGTATTCGCCTGTTTTCACACTGCTATAAAGAAATACCTGAGACTAGGTAATTTTTAAACAAAACAGGTTTAATTGATTCACACTTCTGCATGGCTGTGGAAGCCTCAGGAAATTTATAATAATGGTGGAAGGCAAAGGGGAAGCAATGCACTTTCTTCACAAGGCAGCAGGAGAGAGAGAGTGAAGGGGGAAGTACCAGGCACTTATCAAACAACCGTATCTCGTAAGAACTCACTCACTATCACAAAAACTTTAGAGGGGAAACCACCCCCATGCTCCAATCACCTCCCACCAGGTCCCTCCCTTGACATGTGGGTATTACAATTCAGATTACAATTCGAGATGAGATTTGGGTGAGGATACAAACCACATCAGGACCTCTGGGTGATTTGGTCTCATCTTCCTCTGAGTCCTTTGGTGAGGAGGAAAATACTGATTGGTGAAGAGAGCAACTATCCAAAGCTCCAGCTAGAATCCTTGTTCTAAGGATGCTCTGTCTGGGATCTCAAAATATTTTTATGGTTTCCATGTGCTGCATCCCTGCATGTCTGCTATGCATCCAACAGTAGCTAAGTGTTTTAACTCAATTGTTCCACACAAGAATCCTGCAGGACAACTATTATTGTTTCCATATGTATTCATTGGTGTTCTCCAGAGAAACAAGACCAATGGGATGTGTGTGTGAGTGTGCACACGTTTGTGTGTTTTAAAAGAGATTTATTATAAAGGATCAGCTTATGCAATATGGAAGCTGACAAGTCCCAAGATCAACAGTTTGCATGCTGGAGACCCAGAAAAGCTCATAATGTAGTGCAAGTCCAAAAATTGGCAGGCTTGAGACCTGGGAAGAGCCAATGTGTTAGTTCAAGTCTGACAGCAAAAAGAAACCAATGTTCCAGCTCAAAGGCAGTCAAGCACAGGAATTCTCTATTATTGGGAGGAAGGTCAGCCTTTGTTTTTCCTATTCAGGTCTTCAATGGATTGGATGGGAACCACCCACATTAAGGAGGGCAATCTGCTTTACTTAGTCTCCCAAATCAAATGTTAGTCTCATCCAGAAATACCAGCACACACAACCTTAGAATAATGTGTGACCAAATGTCTTGGCACCCAATAGCCCAGTCAAGTTGACACATAAAATTAACCATCACTTGGCTGGGCGCTATGGCTCACACCTGTTATCCCAGCACTTTGGGTGGGCAGATCACCTGAGGTTGCTTAGGAATGTAAAGAGGTGAGCACTTAGAATCTAGAAAAAGAATTTAGGAGAAGTGGTTTCCCAATGTATCCTGAATGTCCCACTCTGTACTCTACTTTCTCCATCAATCAAAGCCTTCTCTGTAAATTATTTTATTGCAAAGACCAATTTTTAATCTTATTTTTGTGCGTTCACCATTGCAGCTCCCACCATCACCACCTAATAATAATCATAATGATAACCACTTCCATGTATTAAGCGTCACTCTTTGTCAGAGACTATTCAAACATCTTATCTAATCTTACATCAGCCTGTTGAGACATGTAGTTTTACCTTTAAATAACTTTTCAAAAATTATATGAGTAAGAGGAGTTCAAGACCAGCCTGGCCAACATGGTGAAACCCCCTCTCTACTAAAAGTACAAAAATTAGCTGGGCATGGTGGCAGGTGCCTGTAATCCCAGCTACTCAGGAGGCTGAAGCAGGAGAATAGCTTCAACTCAGGAGCCGGAGGTTGCAGTGAGCTAAGATCATGCCACTGCACTCCAGCCTGGGTGACAAGAGCAAGACTCCATCTCAAAAACAACAACAACAACAATTAACCATCACTCTATGGTTAAACTGGGTGTCAGTGCATCTTATAGAAAGAGTCACAAAGCTAGAAAGCAGCAGAAGGAAATGTCAAGACCAGGTTTGTGCTCTTAACCTCTATGTGAGCTTCTCAACCCAGTAGATCCATGCTGGATGTGTGCTGTACTCTTTCGAGTGCAGGGGGAAATAATAGAGCTTGAGAGCCACTGCTCTGTGCACTGCCCCTCATTGGTTGGCTATCTCAGAATCACTGATTATCAGGGTGAGAAGAGACCATCAGGATAATCTAACCCAGTGAAACATTAATCTGATGATCACACAAATAAATGAGTAGTGTGCCTATACTGAGTACTCTGATGGAATGGTACATATGATTGAGAAATAGACCTGATGTGGGTCAGGAGAGGCTTGCTGAATGATTGAATGGGTAGGGGTTACATGGGTAGAGAAAGTAGGAAGGCATTTGAGGTGGAGAGAACCCTAGGGTAACAGGGAGGGGGCAACTTGACCCAGCTGGCTCTGCAGAGTGGGTTCTTCAGATTGCTGTAAACACACCTCAGACAGGCATACTGGATGTGGGGTCTTGGAAGTCCTATAGAGTTGGGTTGAGAGTGAGGAAGGGTGACTGTAATAAAATCACAGAAACCCATCCAATCCCACCTCTCATTTTAAAGGAGAGGAAACAGACCCAGAGAAGTTGCTTATCCCAGAACACACAACTAGGGGATTGCAAACGTAGTGTGAAAACTTGGATCTCTTGCCTCTGTGTCAATTATATTCCCAGGTACCATGGTACCTCTCCACATTGCCTGGAATCACCTGACCCTCCCTTTACCCCACAAGGAGTCCCCAGCTCTTGGAGCTTTAGAGTTCTTGTTCAAGTCTCACACAATCCCCTAAAGAGTGGTGAAAATACTCTCCAAAGTCACTGAACCCTGAGCACAGGACCACACCCCACGAACTGCCACATAAGAAAGGGGGACTCCACGCATGGACTTAAAGTACTGAATCAGCAGCTGGAAATGCTAAAGTAATTCATGACCCATAGAAGCACAAGTTACAAAATCATAGTCTGCAGGCCAGATCTAACCCACAGATGTGTTTTGTTTGGCCACACAATGTATTGAAATGTGTCTAAAATTTATTGCCACCATTAAAAACTTAGATTTCATATTAAAAAAAAGTTCTAGCCTGCATTCCTACCTGAAAATAATTCCCTGGAGCTGCCAACTTCCCCTCCTCACACTCCTCAGGTGCCCTCCTGCTTACTCTGTTCCCAACCCCAACTCCTGAGGTAGCAGGTGGCGTCTGCAGCCCAGGGCTTTGCAAACATGCATCACAGTGTGCCTGCCCTGCCCTGCCTCATGACAGCTTTTCAACAAGCTGCTAACAGTGACCTTGGGATGGCCCCTCGAGTCTGCAGGCCAGCTAACCCCAGTCCCGTCAGCTGCTGCTCCCTTGATAGGGTTGTGGTCTCCTCCAGTCCTGTCACCCTCTTTCCAGACTGTGTCCCTCTGAAGAGGATGCATTCAGATTCAAGCAATGTGCTCCCCCAGTGGGCTGACCTAGGTGGAAAAGTTAAAGCAAGTCATTTTATATTTATACACCATTCAATTTCAACTTGGCAATCAGAACAGCACACACAATGTCAACCCAAATCGAAAGAGGCCTCATAACATACAAAGTTGATTCTCTCTTATGATTCTAGCTAAGTAGAATAAACTCCCAGGGGAAAACATCAAATCATTTCCTGAGACTATATACAAGCAGATCTCTAACAATGTGGGAGGAATGACAAGCATCTTGAAAAAAAATTTTCTGTTTATAAGTATAAACAGAGAAAGGACACTAAGGAAAATACTTGTAAAAGTCCTTGTTAAATGACAGCAATCTAACTGGGTGTATGAAGTTATTGCTGGCTCTCTCTGTTACCAGAATGAACTCAGATGAACTGTTTTAATTGTTTTGCCCTTTGAGGTTAAAACTGCACAGGTAGGAAGCAAAAAAACTAATGGTATTATAGAAAGAAACGCTGGCCTGGGGATCTGGTCCCCTCAAGGCTTTCCATCAATCTGCCTCTATTAGGAACTCATAGGTAGGTCACCTGACACCCTAGGCCTCAGTTACCTCATTGTGCAATGAGATTGTTGAATCAGATTAGAGATTCCACAAATGAGAGCAGTGCATCCAAGACGTAAGCCATTTTTTCATAACCTTTTCCCCTGACCCATTAATCATTTAATTGATGCTCCTCATTAAAATGACTTCAATTCTAGCGTAATTTTTTAGATCAGTCCAAGTGGAAACATTTACAAGCTCACAGGTGTGATGTGTTAGCTATTATTTTAGTACATATTAAAATAAATACTCAAAAATAAAAATTAAAAATAGCATTTGTCCATGTATCGCCTAATGAATACGCAATAAATGTTGAATGAATGAATGACAACTACTTAGGTCAGTCATGTGTGCCACGCACAGACATGAAAAAGATAACCGAAGAAAGCTTTGTGGTAGAGGTGTTATTTGAATGAGGCCTTGGGGTCAGATAAAATTTCAACAGCACAGGAGACTATACTGTTTTAGAGTTAAACACACAGGGGCTCTGGAGTCTAGCATCTGATTGGGTTTGAATTCTAACACCCCTCATGTACAAGGATGTCTCGGTGAAAAATTCTTAACTTCTCAGTGCCTCAGATTTCTCATCTGTAAAGTAGGGATAATGACGGTACCTACCTCAAGAACTGTATGTGAGCATTAAAGTGAGAGAAAGCCGGGAGGCGGAGCTTGCAGTGAGCTGAGATCCGGCCACTGCACTCCAGCCTGGGCGACAGAGCGAGACTCCGTCTCAAAAAAAAAAAAAAAAAAAAAAAAAAGAGAAAGCACATAAAGCACTTAGCAGAGAGCCTCAGTGATTGAGCCTCATGGTCATGTCATCGTCGTCATCAACATCATCATCACCATCATCGTCATAGCAGTCGTCACTATAGCGATCATCATTGTGGAGGAAAGTGGAGAGGACATTCCACAGGGAGGAACTTGAGGGAGGGGAGCACCCAGGAGGCAGCCAGTTTGCCTATGATTTCCACAGGACCAACTCACCTGAGCTATTCTCAGCTAAAGTTTGCAATCCTGCTAACAGACTTCAGTGGCTTCTGGGGAGCGCCTTGGCAGGAATGATCAGCCCCTTGCCCTCATCGGCAGGCTCTGTTCTGATTGGCTGCATTAACCCATGCTGTCCAGTGGTCTGGCTGTGCATTTCCTCCTCCAACAGTGGGGATGCTCCCTCCGGAAAACAGCCTCCAGAGTACATCAGTGGGGAACCGCTGCATCTACAGACCTTGGAAGCGGATCCTCCTCATGGCTGCATTTTTCTTGAAGAGAGCTCGTAAGGACACCCAGCAGCCACAGTGCCAATCAACATCAAAGATGGGGTCAGGGTGCAGAAAGAGCCACAGAATTGCCAGAGGCAGTTGCTGAACTTTTGCTCCTAGATGGAGCCAGTTAGGCCTGCACATCACTGCAGCAGGCATCTCTCAGTGCCATGAGTCCTGGTGGGTCTTGTTGATTCCTCATTCATTTCTTATCACCCCATGTGAATCAGATTCAGTTGCTTCATATTTTCTTCACTACACTTATCACTGCCTGATGTTATATTACAGTTGTGAGTTTTGCACCTCTTATATTAAAACAGTGTCTGCCACATAGTAAACACTTAGTATTTGCTGAAAGTTGTAAAAGTACATCAATGAGTATCCCACATTGCCTGGCACATAATAGATATTCCATAAATAGTTGTCAAATAGCATTTGCCTCTTGGTCCAGAGAACAGGGATAAGGGTGGTGTAGATGTGGAGCATTTTGTTCAGGGATGCTTTTCTGGATGTGGTATTTGAGCTAGACCTTAAAAGATGGAGTGAAATTCCATAAGGAAGGCTTAGTAGTGGGGCATTCCACACAAAAAGGACAGGTGTTTAGACATGGAAAACATTGGGGACATTTGAGAAACTGGGAATAGCTCAGTTTGGCTGGCGGATTGGAAATATAAAGAGGAATTCCAAGAAGCTACACCTGGAGAGGCTTCCCCAGTATTATAAAAAGTCTCAAAGGCCATGCCAAAGAGCAGGGGCCTGGATCCCTCAGGCAGTGGAAAGCCAATGTGGTTTTTAAGGAGGTGAGTAGTGTGGGCTGACCAATGCTTTAAGAAGATGAATACAGCAATGTCTTGAAGAGTGGTTTCGAGGTGGAAGGGAGACAGAAAACAAAGGTCCGAAGCCAAAAACGTGGAGAAAGTATAAACAAGGTTCAGTGTAACACCAGATGTTGATTTAACACATAAGCGGGGAAGAGGAGAGTCAGAGGTGAAGTTGAAGTGCCGGCATGGCTGACTGAAAGGATGGTGCTGCTGCAGCCTGAGCAGAGAAGTCGGAAGGAGGAGCAGAGGGGCTTGGGGATATGGAAAGGAGAATAGTGCAAAGTCTTATCTTGTCATGACCCAGATTCCCCATTTGGTGAATGCTTGTAGGCATAAAAGTGCCAGAGTCTCACTGACTGTTGGAAACAAAGACTGAAACTCCAAATGTAGATAAGAAGTGGACAAATTTCAAGAGTCACCTCCAATGAAGGAGTCTACCTAGGCCTTAGGGTCAGCATAGTTTCTAGAATTGGTTAAATGTAATCCCAGCTCTTCCTCTTCTTATGTGTATGACCTTGGGCAACTCTCTTAACTCATCCAAGGCCCTGCTTTCTCATCTGTAAAACGAGAATGATAATAAATCTACCTTATAGAGTTTTATTGAGAATTAACATAAGCATGGTATTTACTAGTGGTAAAATACTCAATATGCATCAATAATTATTAATATTATCTTATTTTTATATGAAGCAGAGGCTGCAAATACAAATGCCTTTATAGGCCAACTGGAGAGAAATGAATTAAGCCAATTCGCCACCTAAAAGGAACGTGGCTATTCACCTTCAGCAAATTACTCCACTTGGGAGTTTTGATGAGGTTATCACCCTGCGCGATTTTTTTTAAGAGAATTTGGAAATCTGGACTTTGGAGGGATAAAATTTTCCATTTTAAAATGTTTACTCAATTTAAATTACAAGATAATATTGTGGCATCCAACAGTGCATGAACTGAACAAAATGTGTGTGGGGCTGGTATAGCCCATGGGCTGCCATCTGTGAAATCTGATTTAAGACAGGCTTCCAGCTTGATGTAGAGATCCTGGGAGCCCTTTTGGAAGCTAGAGCGGCCCCTTCATTCTCCTGAGATATTAGGCTCCAATCTCTCCACATGTCAAACAACAGGCATGCAGTGGATGACCCGATGCCCTCTGGGCCTGAGGTTCTGAGATCACTGGTGTCCAAGGATGTCCAGTCTGGCCTTGATGGCATGAAGAGATCAATTGGGGAAAGCTCGAGGGCTGAGTGAGACGGCCAGGGAGGCCAGGCCTGGTGGCAGCTTCATATGCTGCAGCAGGGAGAAACCTGTAGGTGTTTACCTGCTGTGGATAAAGACAGGAGAAGTGTTGAGGCTAGCTGGAGATGAGAAGCAGGGTGTCTGACCTGACTAGTTAAACACTTTACTAAGAACTACAGCTGAATCAAAGACAAATCTGAATATGAGCCTGTGTGTGTGTGTGTGTGTGTGTGTGTGTGTGTGTACCACTCACCTGAGCTGGGGTGATAGAGGAGAACGGGCCCGAGTGTGTATCTGCTTTGTCTGCTTGCTTTTCTCAAGTTCGTTCCTGTGTGACAGAAATTTCTAATCTCTTGTACTCACAAAGCTACAGCTGATATTTCCAGAAACTTTCATAGCACCATTTCCACCTCATCCCTCCTCGCCACCTGAACCCTTACTCCCAGGTTTTCAGGGTCTGAATCTACAGCCAAGCTTCTCGGTTCTAGAACCCAGAGTGGAGATGTAGAAAATCCTACAAGCAACCCTGAGTGTTAGAGCCTCCAGCAGGCTCAGACTCTTCTGCCAAAGGACGGCTGCTATTCCAGCGCCTGCATTGCAAAGATGGGCAGGTCAATGCATGGCCAGCAGGAACAGAAGAAACACTGCCATTGTCCCAGCTGATTGATGCTGAGAAGGCAAGATCATTTTTCAGCAAAGTGCCTGGTTAACCCAAAGTGCAAATTTGGTTTCCTCTACCTTACTGGAATATTTGACTTTGAATCCATGTTTACTTTCTACCTCTGGGTAGATGTATCCTGTGACTCTGTGATAAATGATATTTACAAAAAGAGGTTTTCAAGATATTTTTAGCAATAGAACTCTTTCTTTAAAATGATATATTACACTAAACCCAATATATAAAATATGTTTTGTAATTGAGTGATTAACACATTCTTTAGTCAATTTGAATCTTTATTCTTGGTGGTAAAGACTTTGTTATTTTCAAAATTACAAGTGCCTAACAGGAAACTTCAGGACTCTTTGGAGTATGTTGTAAAAACCACTGATACAGTCCTCACTTTCTGAGGTACTGGGGTTCTAAGTGAGGAGAAGTCATATCTCTCATCTTTAACAGTGTAAAATGAAGATGACAGAAGGGAATCACAGCATTTCCTGGCATTTTACTGATCACATTTGAATAGGAGGTGAGTAACTTCATATGTTGGAAAGAGAAAGAATCATACAGAAAAAAAGTCAGGACCCTGTGTTCTAGTTCTGGCTCTAGAGAGTGTTGGTTCTAATCTTTGAGAATTGGTACTCACCATGTGCCACTGGAGAAGGCCCTTCTCGTCTGTGGATGCAGATTCTCTGTTTGTAAGCATCATCTCATCTGAATGTCTAGGCTGCTGCTCAATGTGTTGGCCCAAAATGCTACGCTATCACAAAACTGTACAGGTACATTCGGTGTGCCACAAAACAGACCCATCCCCTCTACACACCCACATTTATGTATTGATACTATGTTGTACAGAGTGATTCCATACAAAACAATGGAAATGAACTGTTGGAAGGTTTCTAGTGGTTACATGAGGTACAGAAGAGTAGCAAATGTGGCCACAAGTGCCATCCTGGAGCCAGCCCTAGATTTTAGTCCTGACTATATCAACTACTGGCTATGTGATCCCAGGCAAGCCACTTACCTTCTTGCCTTCTCCATAATAAAATGGAAACAGCATGACACCAATCTCCCAGGTTGGTAGGTTAGCTCATTTACACAGCAACGTGGGGAGGCCCTCAGGCTTTGACTGTGCCCAGACCTGGATTCAAATTATTTTTCTTCCACAAATAAACAAAGTCCCTTATATATGTCAATTTTCTCATTTGTCAAATAAGGAAAATTATTAAATCAAATAATGTTTGTCAGACACTTTAGTTAGAACTGTACTTATGGTATAGTGAACACACCCCCCCAAAAAAAATGATGCGGCCAAGTGTAAACAAACTTGAAGGAAATAGTGCCAGTTGTAGATGAAGAAGAGCCCAGCTTGAGAATGAGGACTCAGCTTTCTCTCTGGCTATGCCCCACATCCTGAGTGACATCCGAGAGTGCTCTTCTCTTTCTGAGCCAAAGTCTCTCCATCTGCACAAGAAAGATAGTGCACTCCACAGTCAGATTCTGATATTCTCTGGTTTTATGGTGGACTCTCACCTTCCAGTTACAGCCCCATGAAGGGATGTGGGAATCAGTGTCAAGCACCACAACTCAAATGTCTTTAGGATCAGACATCTGGCATCAACAGAGTAATAATGATCATCTTGAGTTGCATTTTTCTCAAGACAGTTATAAAATTGACCTAGTAAATATGAGAGAATATTCTTCATATCCACAAAAAAATGTGATCACTCCCATTTTTCTTGAACCACTGACAGCCTCAAATTTGGAGACATTATCAGGAGAGGGGGGACCCTGAAGTAAATGGGGCACTTAAGCCCCATCTGAAGATGGCATCTGTATTCAGCAATAGTTCATTGTTGCCAAAACAGAATGAAAGCCCAGTGCTACTAAATATCACAGATTTTCAAGAAAAGATGGAAATCAGATTTCTGTGTGTGTGAAATATTGGGGTCATTAAGAGATAGCGAATAATTCAAAATATTTTTAAAAATACCTTTGCAACCTGCAGATGCAGTTCATGGGTAGCATTTGCCATTTCAGGTATGACCAGTTCCTAAAACATATCAGGTGTTGTATGATGGGATCCAATGGTCCCTACCTCCACCCCACAAAAAGGAGGATCCACAGCAAGACCTTTGAGCAAAGAGAATGCAGGATCTTCACCCCAGATCATGCATGCTCACCACAATGAGTAGGACCAGAGTGAGTATGTGATCCACAAACAGCTCTCCATGGTCATTGTTTTCAAACTTGCAGATCCATAGAAATCACTTGAAATAAAATCATCTGGAGAGTTTGGGTAAGATGTCTCAGGAGCCACCCACAGGAATTCTGCTCCATCAAGTCTGAAGTGGGCCTCAGGAATCTGCCCAGATGGTTTCTCAGCCTCCCTTGAGGAAACTTACCTCAGGTCTAACCAGGGGCCAATGACTGTAGAAGTTCTGCCCAACGTGGAGACTCAGTGCTGGAGGGTGATCAGCTGAACCAGTTGCTGCTCTGAAGGGGAACAGACTGAAGAGTGCTGATTTGCCTCTTCTGGGGAGCATGGACAGAGACACATTCATGTTACTCACTTACCAGAAGTTTATTTTAAAAATTCACAGAGAAGTAAGGAAACCATCTGAGCTGCAGAGTCAAACCCCATGGAGTCCATGATATCGTTCCACCACTGGAATGTTTTTCACTCTTGTCTAATCTGTCCATAAGCCTTGGACTTCTGTGTCTCTGCCTCTTCTGATTATGAGCACTAGTCTTATGCCTTACCCTATCTTACTGCTCTCCAAGAGAAAAGGTCTGATCGATTCAGCCAATCACCTGCCAGAGCGCAGTGTTCCTATGGACAGAGCATCAACACCTCAGAGGCTGCTGACCAGCCCATAGCTAGTAGGCTTTGGGTCAAGTTATTCTGTATTGCATCAGCTGTGGCCAGGATTCCAAGGTCAGGTGATGCTAAACATCCCAAGCTGTGGGTCAGGAACCTCGCAGAGAAAGGCTAGAGGATGGTAGGCTCCTGGCATGGCCAACTGCTATGATATTGGGGTGAAGAACAGTAACCAATTAGCCAAAGAGAAAGAAGCCCCATGAATATGAAAAGACAAATGTCCCAATAGGAGCATGATACTTTGGCTGGTGACAGATGCTAGTCATAGAGAACAAACCAGCCTAGTGGGTGAGTCTGCAGGTCCTGAGTTCTCATCCCAGCTCCACCATTCTCTGGTTGTGTGACCTTGGGTAAATTACTCAGCCTCTCTGAACTTGAGCTTCCTAGTCTTTCAATAAAAATGATTATAATGTCTCACAAAGGGGTTTTGAGAGTTAAATGAAATACTGAGTATAAAGCCTTTAGCACAGAGCCTGGAGTAAAACAAAAGACAATATTTAGTTTAAAAGTGAAAAAAAGAAACCTACAGAGAGTTTCTCTTCTCAGAATACATCCTCAGAGAAGAACAGAACAACATTGCAAGAGGAAACCCAAGTTCTTTGGAAACATGAGCTATTGTTGTTATTCTCCAAGTACGTAAAGTAGATGTGGATTAAAGGTGGCATTTGGGGTGCTGGAGGCTGGAAGGAAAAAGAGCACGAGATCAGTAGGAAACCTGGACATGTGTTCCCACTCTGTCATTTTTGTAACTAGCACTGTAAGCAGCCAAAAACGTCCTTCCTATGCCTGGGCTTCACTTTCTCCATTTGTAAAATGAGGGCGTTGGGTCATCTGACCTCAGAGGGTATGCCTATCTCTGAAGCTCCAGAATCTCATAAGGACCAAGAACAGCAGAAGAAGAAGAATCAAAGATCTAGTAACTGACTCCAGATTCTAGAAGGGCTGGGTTGTTTTGCTTTGTTTTGTTTGGGGTAAATGCACTCTGAAAGGTAACTTTAGGCTGGAAAATCAGTCAGATTTGCTGGGATGAGAAGGTTCAGGTGGGACCCAAGGATGGTCTTCAAGAACATGGAGGGGATGTGTATCTGGAAGCAGGGTTAAGCTGGTTCTGTGTGATCTGAGGTTGGAAGGCAGACTCCACCCCATTTCAGAGGAGACCAATCTAACAAGTGGAGGTGTCTTCCCCCCATGCTTCAGAATACATTCTCTAGCTTCATTCAGGTCTCTATTCAAACATCAGCTCCTCAGGTCTCTACTCCTAACCCTCGCCCTAACTCAATGTCTGTCTATCCAGTCTAAAATGCCACCTCTGTCACTCTCTAGGCCTTTACCTGCGTTTGCCTTTCACACTGCCCTACAGACCATCATATGATGTCTGACTCGCTCCAGGGAATGTCAGCTCCACCACAGCAGAACATTTGTTTGCTTCAACTGCTGAATCTTCAGTTCTTAAAAAGGGCTTTGGACATAGCAGATTCTCCATAAATATTTGTGGACCTCTCCCCACAAAAATAAGGACAAGTCCTACAGTCAGTATAATATTCTCCTTTGTCCTGGTGAACAGAACCTGAAATTAAAGACTTCATTTCTAATTGTAAAACTTCAGAACTCAACCTGTTGATGAGGAAAGAAACTGGAGGAGCAGACGATCGTCCCCTTATTACGGAAAAATTTCCCCTCTACACTTCCCCATGCGGATGACCAGCAGGGGAACTGCCCTGGGCAGGGGAGACCATGTGAGGATCTGAGTTGAGAATGGGTGTTCTCATCTGCAGCAGATTATAACATGTGAAAGATCTCCCCCTTTATTCTGGAGGCCCTGTACTGGCCTTGAATGGGGCTTTGAAGGCCTGAATATTCAGGAACTGTCCTGAAATTTCCCCTCTTCCGCATCCAGCAGGACTGCAACTTTCAGGAACTGTCGATTGTCTAGGGAATATAAACAAAAGAACAAAGGCAAAGTTGGCTCATTAGAAGGGAAGAAATCTCATATCGAACTGAATATAAAACCCACTTAGAATTTAAACACCAGAGTGGCATGTAGGAGGAACATGATTACAAACTCTGGGGAGAGGTCCCGATAAACCAAAGCAATTCTATCCTGGTTCTCAGTCCCTGTTCATAAAAATTTCATAGAAGGGGAACACGTCTCCAGAGCTTGAGCTTCTGGCATAGCAACCCTGCTGCCAGTTGCCTCTGTTTGCTTTGAGATATCAGAAGGGAGACTCCAGGCAAGCTGGCTTTCATTTATCTAAATATAGTCTCTTTTCTGAGAGTACAGTGAATCAAGCAAGGGGTCCTGGGGCCAGCATGGTGCTTGGCATTTTTACTTTACGGGCTGCATGACTTTTGGCATGTTCCTTCCCCTCTGCAGGCCTCAATTTCTCCCTCCATTGAGAAAGAAATCCAGGCAGCATTTGAGCTCCTTTTTCTCTGTTCCTTCAAACCTCATTGTCCACGGCCTCCAAGGCTTCAGTGTATTTTCCTGACCTGTCCTTTTCATCCTCTACACTTCCTTTTCTGTTTGCAGAGGAACTGTTCCTGGCTTAACATGGAATTGAACCCTAGAATGCAGAACAGCTCTGAGTCTCAGTCACAGACACCCAGGAGGACTCTCACTGCTGGTCAGACAAGTGCCTGGACTTTGGGTTGCCATCCCTCTCTCTTTTGACACCACTGCCTGTTTTGCCAAGTTCCCCTCTATGGCATGTGACAGCATGATGCCCCAAGGGAGAAAAGCTGCCAAGAAGGGCCCTGAGTCTTTGGCATTGGGCGAGAAGGCGGCACTCTCCTAGCATACGACTCGGGCTACAAGGCAATGCTTGCCTGCTGAGCACTGTCAGTTTCTTTGCCTAGAAAATGGAAATAGGAAGAACCCTGTCCATCTCAGAGGACTTTATGGGAATCAGATGAGAAAAGAGGTTCTGGGGAAAACTTTGATTTGCTATTTAGATCCTTGAGTCCAAGACTCTCAGCCACTGCTTTGACCTCCTACCTCTCTGGCATGCTATCTCTTCACTTCACCCACCCTGGTAGCCTCTCCAGCAATAACAGAGCAGCTCACAGCATGGGCTCTGGACTCAGACTGCTGAGTGTTTCCCACTGGCTCTAATCTTACCAGCTGTGTGACAGTAGGCATGTTAACTCAGCTCTCTGATCTTCAGTTTTCTCATCTGAAAGTGGGGATAAAACAAAACCTACCTCAACAGTTGCTGTGAGATAATGTATGAAATGCACCTGGCACCGCACCTACACTACATTCACTCCTGCTGCTATTAGTGTTACTTCCTTGAAGATCCACAGCCTGTTATCACTAATAGGATCAGTGGGAGACTGAATATAACTAATGTGATTAGTAGGCATCCTGAACACTGGCAGCTCTCTCGAGCTGTGGTCCACAGAACATTGGCAGTCCTCCAGATCCTTTCAAGAGGTCCACAATGCCAAAATTATTTTCAGAGTCACACTACTTGGCGTTTTTCACTGTGTTGACATTTGCACTGATGGTGCAAAAGCAATGGTGCCCCACTGTGCAAGCGCTCTTTGTATTCTCTACCACCATGCATGCCCGGGGGGCGGGGGAAGCCAGTTTCACTTGGCAATGTCTTTTATTAAGTAGTAAATATTGTTATTTTTATTAAATTTTGACCCCATTTTTACTTGAAAGAATGACTAACAGACAAACTATGATTATTCAGATGTGGGCATGTAGCAGACATTTCCACAGAAATGAATGAGGTAAGCCTGTCGCTTCAAGAGAAATCACTACCAATATTTGTTGCTAATGATAAAATTCAAGCTTATAAGTAAATTTTAGAAAGCTTATATCTGCCACCACAAACTTATCAGCTTCCCAATACTCAAAGATTTTGTAAATAAGATTTATAGTAATATTAATTAATGTGATTTTTTGTATTGTAGAATGAAATGTGTCAACATTTGGAAGACCTGTATAACTAATATTTTTCCAATGATTTATGTACGATGTTATGAAATCACGCAGGGGTAAAAGATCCTTTGAAAGTGTGAGTTGGACCAATGGATTACATGTAATCAACTAAGGAAAGGTTCATTGATAAGGTTCTAGATTTTGTATTGCAACTAACCTTTCAGAAACTGCCACAAGTTTTTGTGTAATATCAAAGAAGAATATCCATGACTATCTGAGATTGCCATTAAAATATTCCCCCTTTTTCCAACTATGCCTCTGAGTGAGGCCATATTTTATTTATATGCTTCAACAAAACATCACATTGCAACAGATTAAGTGCAGAATCAGATGAGAATCAAGCTATCCTCTATCACGCCAGATGTTGAAGAGATAAGCAAACATAAAATAATGCCATTTTCTGAATAGAATTTTTGTTTTTGAAAAATTTTCAGAAGGAAATGGTAATTATGTTCCCATGTCATGGGTGTATTTTTGTTACTTTTATATGAATTAAAGCAATAACTTTAAATTTTATGTTTTAACTTCTTATTTGGTAAATATCACTGGATGGAATCTAGATAAATGAAATCGATGTGTAGTTCTCAATCATCTTTTTAGGAGGGTAAAAATGTCTAAGACCAAGAAGCTTTAGAACCACTGCTGTAAATGTTTGAGAGAGAGACAGCAAAAGACGGTAAAGAGAAGTTCCCGTACTAACCATATGAAGTGACAGTCCTGTTGTGTGCTCTGTTCCTCAGCTCACACCAGGAACACTCTGGAGTTCCCTGTCCAACGCAGAGCCCCACATTTGAGCAGGGATACTGACAAACTGAACGTTATTCTAAAAAGGGTAACTGGAGGATAAAAATTATGTTCCCGGAGGAACAAGAGAAATAAGTAGATAAACACCCTGAGGCCAGGCACAGTGACTCACGCCTATAATACCAGCACCTTGGGAGGCCAAGGCAGACAGATCACTTGAGGTCAGGAGTTCCAGACCAGCCTGATCAACATGGTGAAACCCCATCTCTACCAAAAAATACAAAAATTAGCCGAGGGTGATGGCATGCACCTGTAGTCCCAGCTACTAGGGAGGCTGAGGCAGGAGAATCACTTGAACCTGGGAGGCGGAGGTTGATGTGAGCCGATATGCCACTGCACTCCAGTCTGGGTGACAGAGTGAGGCTCTGTCTCAAAAAATAAATAAATAGGGCAGGCGCAGTGGCTCATGCCTGTAATCCCAGCACTTTGGGAGGCCGAGGTGGGCGGATCACGGGGTCAGGAGATCGAGACCATCCTGGCTAACATGGTGAAACCTCATCTCTACTAAAAATACAAAATATTAGCTGGGTGTGGTGTCATGCACCTGTAATCCCAGCTACTCGGGAGGCTGAGGCAGGAGAATCGCTTGAACATGGGAGGCGGAGGTTGCAGTGAGCTGAGATCACGCCACTGCACTCCAGCCTGGGTGAGAGAGTAAGACTGTCTCAAATAAATAAAAAATTAAATAGGCACATATAAACCATGGAATACTATGCAGCCATAGAAAAGAATAAGTTCATGTCCTTTGCAGCGACATGAATGAAGCTGGAAACCATCATTCTCAGCGAAGTAACACAGGAACAGAAAACCAAACACCTCATGTTTTCACTCATAAGTGGGAGCTGAACAATGAGAACACGTGGACACAGGGAGAGGAACATCACACACCAAGGCCTGTTGGGGGGTAAGGCGAAAAGGGAGGGAGAGCATTAGGACAAATACCTAATGCATGCAGGGCTTAAAACCTAGATGATGGTTGATACGTGCAGCAAACCACCATGGCACATGTATACCTATGTAACAAACCTGTATGTTCTGCACATGTATCCCAGAAATTAAGGTAAAATTTAAAAATAAATAAATAAGCTTACTCTGGGAAAAAAGGCAAAAATAAAAATAAAATAAAATTTATAGAACTATAATAACTTCTTGAAATCTCTGAAGGGCTGTCAGAAAAATGTTGACCAAAGGGTTGTGTAAGAATGGCCTCAAATATATATTTTGCTACACCAAGATTTTTTCTTCTGTTTTCTCCTCTGTCATTCTCTAATGATTCTCCCTGCTCTAAAATGTTGTTTCTAGTCTCTTCTCATTCCCTTCTCTTTTTCTTTCTTTTTCTAGCTTGCTTTCTTTTTCTCTCTCTGACCCCTTTCCCTCCTTCCCTTCCTTTCATTAAATTTCTTCCTTAATTACCAACAATATATAATAAATATATTTTTTTTCCAAAAAGTTTTGTTTCTTTTTTTTCTTAGAAAGGTGTGAGTAGGAGGAGAATGAGGAAGAAGAGGCGGGAGAAAGAGGGGAGGGCCCAGGGCGAAGAGATGGGGGGAAAAGAATAAAGGGGAGGGAGAGGAAGAATAAAAAATAATCATCTGTTTTTGTTCCCCTTCTGTAACCTGATGTATTTAATAAGACAAAGGTGTAAATGATGGTGGTTCCCAGGGCAGGAACAAGAGCATTTCCTCCCAGAGTGGAGAGCAGGAGGGTGAGTGGGGCTGAGCCCTGGGCTTTGGGTGTTATCTCAGGTTCATTAGAGAGAAAGAAAAAGTCACAAAACAGTGAATGTGAATGTTTTACAGACAATGTGAGGCAAATAGAATAGAGAATTTTAGAATATTTTTAAAAGACTTGTAACAAGATTCTTCTTCTAGGAAAGGAGCTTAAGGAAATAATCTAATGTTTAGGCATAAAACTATGCACAAGAATGTCTGCCACAGTATTAATGAAAATGATGAAGAACTGACACACCCTAAGTGTCCAACAATAAATGATTAAATTATTTCTGAGATACAAATGTCAATTAAGACTATTAAGGAATCAATAAAAATAATTAATAGAGAAATAAATAATGGCATAGGGAAATACAAGATAATGTTGAAATTTTAAAAATAATGAAGATACAAAGTTAAATATATGTAGTAATTTAGTCGATATATTTGTATTGAGCTGCTACTTGCACTATAGCAGATGTTGGACATTTAGTGTTATGCATAATCCTGCCCTTATGCAGTTTAAATTCAAATAAAAAATACAGATTTTAAATAATTAATTAGACAAATAATTAGTTGCATGTCTTTTGTTCCCTGTTTCAATAAAGAGACATGAATTTGTGAAAAGCTATAAGGAATGATAAAATATTAATGGTGGATTTTTAGATGGTAAAGCTGTAGGTGCTTGATATATTCCTCGTAAGTTACATATTTTCCAAATTTCCTAGAATAAGAATCTATTATTTTAAAATCATCTTAAATGTCAATGATAAATAAGAAAAAATATCTAAATAAGAAAAAATATCTAAAATATTGCACACTCGTGCAATCAATTTCTAACCTTCAGCCTCCCTTCCTTTCTCCTTTACATCATTAGACACCAATGACACCTTCTGCCTCTATGACCTACCTAGAAAACCAAAACAGGCAGTGGCCTTCATTCTTTTTGAAAAAAGCGCTAGACAAACAGAGTTTGAGGTGCCAGGTATGCAACAAGGCAAAAGACTGACTGGCTCTTTTCTTATGGAATTCAAAATGTGAAGATAGGAACAGATGCCAGTGAAGATAGGAACAGTAACCAGTGCAACCGTTACTGGACACTATGCTGAGCACTCCATGTGTCTCATCTCATTTACTCTTCACTGCAAACTATAGAATAGATTCTGGGTTTAGACCCATTTTACAGATGAGGAAACTGAGGCTCACTGAAGTTAAATAATACCTTGCAGGTGGCAGAGCTAGAATTCAGATTCCCATGGCCTGACTCCAAAGCCCAAGCCCTAAGTAAATCACCAGGAAGAAGACAGAGCTGTGAGTTAAACTGTTCAAGGTCCCACCAGGGAGAGGACTTAACCCAGACCTAAGTATGAGGGGAATCGTCCTGGAAGAAGCAACCTGTACCTGAGACCTCAAGGGTTGCAGAAAAGGGCCTGTGAACGGATTCTGGGAAATGAAAGCTCAGTAGGACTAGCATGTGGAATACTGCAGGGGATAAGGGGGAAGGCAGAAATGAGGCCAGAGAATAACAAAGTAACAAATCATATGGTCCTTGAAAACTCAGTTAGGACATTTCATCTTTATCCTCAAAAATGTTGGGAATCACTAAAGTGTTTTAAACAGGAAAACATCAGGTCAGTTTTCCACTTACAAAATATAATTCTGGCAACTTGGAGAACAATTTGGATGAATCAAGACTGACGGCCAAGAGGCCAATCAGGAGGCTATAGTCATCAATCAGTAGAAAGATGATGGTGGCCCAAAGCAGGATAGAAGTAACAAGGAGAGAGATAAGATGTCTGGTCCCAGAGGTATTTTGGAAGTAAAGTTGGCAGATGTTGAGGAGGTGAGAGAAAGACAGAAATAGGATGCCAAGATGTTTCTCTAACAGTATGCCAACTGAGGCTTCCATTCTGTGGAGCAAAATAGGTTCACTTTAG